AGGCCCGATCTAGTCGTTCTTCAACAAAATTAGGAGGGGCCCTCTTGTTTGACCATGTAAATGGATATCCAATAAATCCCAAATCATTTAAGCCAGATTCATTTAAACACTCCCCAAAATCTAGTATTGCATTGAACGCTGCATCAGAGCCACCCTTTTTTTCTGAAATCGATAGTAGTGCGTTGAAGTCTCCTGCACAAAGCCACGGCAAGTTGGAGACCGTCGATAGATGCCGAAGAACGGTCCAAGAATTATGTCGCTCATGCTCAATTGGATCTCCGTAAAAACCTGTAAATCGCCACTGAGAGATTCCTTGATCATCGGAAATATGCACATCAATATGGTTTTTTGAAAAGCTTTGCAAGGCTATATTTATTTCTTTGAGCCATAACATCGCTAATCCGCCTGATCTTCCTCTTGCTTCCACTGCTACACCATATAAATTCAGTTTCATTTTTATAAACTCAAATTTCTTAGAAGATAGTTTTGTTTCTGATAAGAAAATGAGATGGGGGTTATTAACTCGAATAATTTCTTCGAGTGAGCGAACTGTACGACGACCCCCCAGTCCCCGACAGTTCCAGGCTAGGCAGATCATCGATTTCTGCCACTTTCTTGTACAAGCAAGCAACGCCTCTCACATTGAGAGAAAAACAATAAACATAATAGCGGACAATTCAAGTAATAGAGATTCAAATTACTTGCAAGCAAATCGGTAATGGTGTCGAATCAGTGATGCATACGCTCTATTGAAACAAAATTACAGCTTTTAAATGTACCAAATATGATAAAATTTATATGCCATTACCTCGATTGAAAAATGCATTGAACATGCTAGCAAGAATACCACATATAAGTGCAGAAACTTTAAAAATGTAAACAATAAAATACACGTAAATCCAAATAATAATATGGCATTGGTTAATAGTATATGTTGGAAGACATCTTTGTACACAACATTGTTGCATTGTTCACCCGATTCCAACTTGATCAATATGTTGATGCCACCTCTAGTTTTATCTACCACGTATGCTAAACCATGACCGGAAAACAGGTTCGACATGTAGCAAAGTTTGGCATTTACTTTTGTTGATCGTCATGGAAACTGAAACAATCACAGGAAACTGTCTTTGTTGACACTTAATAGGCAAGTTGGAATTCAACTAGATTATATTTATTGGAGGAATAAAGATCATTTGGCCAACATGCTTGCCGGTTAAAATATTGCAGATAATGCCATGAGGGTTCATTCTAATAACTAGAAGTATAATTTCGTGGCACAATCATTTAACTTGGCCAATATTCTTAATTCACATACCTTGAACACTTCCCTTGAATTTTAACTCGTAAGAAGAAAGTCCAATATTCAATGAATTTTTCGCTCGACTCACCTAACAAACGTCGTCAGACCCAGTAAAAAAATCAACGAAATTCCTAAGTACTTCAACCCGCGAAACCCGAGAGTCGGACTTGGCAGGGGGGGCTCGACGTTCAAGTTGCCACGATGTCACAACTTCCTCCAATAATTTTGTTGCTAGACCATCGCCCTACAACAAATTGACCTTCTCGAAACGCACTTCAATTTGTACAGCCGCTAAACCTCCGCCCTCGAAATTGAAGGGTCCGTTGTGACATTTGGGCCCTCGAAATTCCGTTAACATCAAGGATTGTGCCTACAAAATCTTCAAAAATGCTTGAATTTCCGTTGTCTCCCCGAGGCTTGGGAATTTTAGACACTGATAGTATGATACAACTAGGAAGCACCACCAACATGCACCCCCTCGGTGGGACCCTATAGCCAACTTCTAAATTTGCGGGCTACCTTGGGACTCCAACAAAAAGGAAAATTATACGGCTTCGAGCGACTATTCGTAAGTTACTCCCAAGCAGACGACCGGCCCGTGTGCCAACTTGGGAGGGGTATAATGATGTCCCGAATTGGATTTTTGGCCCATAAAAGTTCAAATCAAACCAATTGATAATAAAAGCCCAATTATTACGTATTACTAAAATCGAATAGGATTTTGGTTATAACTTATTGTACCACATTAGAGTTCTACAAGAAGTCTTCATATTCTCTCACCTATATATATGTGATTTAACTCACATGATAAGACACGCACAATTTTGGCAATTAATTAATAATATTTGCGTATATTGTGATAGTTTCTGACTTGAGCATTAGAGGACAATCATTGGGCTAACCCGACAAGCGAATCTCTACTCTTGGGTTGCCCAATCGAGCAGTAATGAGTGGACCCATCCCTTCGACTACCTTTCCTACTCATTGACATATTTAAATTATTTAGATTTTAAAATTCTATTGTCAAGTTCTTGGAATATTTTTCAGCAAAATATTTTAGGTATTTCACTTGATTGGGGGTAAATATTAGGAATAAATATAATAGTTATTTTCATCAAAATAAAACAGTTTTTAAGTAGTCATTATCAAGTGAATAACTAAATGGCGTAGAGATGTATATTTTGTTTATCTATTTTCTTTTCAAAATAACCATTAATCTCTTCAAATGATATTCTTTCTAGTTGATCCTTTTTGCATTTATTTTTATTTGTCATAATTCATTCTTGAAACGTTATTCCGTGCATTACACCGTAGAAATACTAGTTTGTTTTTTATTTTTTATTTTTTTAATACTTTTAAATTTTTATTTTTATTTTTATTTTTATTTCTTGATCATATATGAGATTTTTCTAAAAAGTTGATTACCGTGAATATTTAGAAGGAAAGAAGTAGTTTCACTCGAGAAATGAGAATTGGGCAAGGAAGACTATCGTAAATCATGATATGAAATAGATGAAAAAGGCGCGAATTGAAATTATTTTATAACTAAACATAAATTCATTTGGATTTAAAAATAAATAATCCAACTTTTTGGATGAAATTGCAATTTAAAAAATTTCTTTACACAACTTCCCAGCACCATTTCATGGTCACCATCAAACCATCCTTCCAATACTGACCCATTCTCCCCCACCATCTACTTTAATGCCGCCGCCACATCGACGACTACCGGTGCTCCAGAATTTCATCGGAATCTTCATCAAAAGCGAATTCAAGTCCAAAAGCCCTACTTCAGGGTTTGAGATTTTGGGCTTTCTTCAACATAGAGAAGAAAAATAAGATTCCTGCCGGAGAAGATGACCGGAAACAAGAATCCAATCCAGAAAATGGACCGACGGTGGATACGTTTTTGTGATTTGGATATTTTACTTTACTATTTGTTTTTAATTAGGGGTAGTTTAGTAATTTCACATGGGTCAACAGCTAATTTTAAAATAAAGGGCAGTATGCTTTTTAAAAAATAACATAAGGTTGCTTGCTAATATTTTTAACACAAGGATCTTTTGAACCACTCGAGATTATACAGGGGTTATGTGCAATTAGCACAAAATCAATATATATAGGTAGAAAGATAGTTATGCAGTATTTGATGTAAGAGCATCTCCAACAGGATGATGTATATCTATAATTTACTTCTTATCAAAAAACAGTATATCTATAATTTATATCTTTTACACATTTTAAACCAAAAATCACATCTCCAATAACCAAGTGGGAAAAGGCAAAATTTGTTACATTTTTACTTTGCATATCCAAAATTGACAAACCAAAATTACAATTTTCCAAATTGTGTAAAAATAAATAATAATAAAAGTTCCATTAGTGCCATTTTTTATATATTAAATACAATAATTATTTTGCAGATAGTAATTATTTTGCACATATATGTTTCTTTTTATTAATAAAATAAAGAGTGTTTAGCTTTTTTTTTTAATATATGTATATATAACATTAAATTATACTTTGCAATATATTTTAATTCCAAAAAGTTTCTGAGTAAAAAACTAAAACAAAATATATGTATGTATGTGAAATTAAAATTATAGTTGTTAAAATTAATTCAGAACTAAAGTTTTTGTAAAATAATAAAATATGATAATTGTGTAAATTATAAACAATGTTGTTGGAGTCTAATGTTAAAAGTGGTATTGCATAACACTATTCATCTCTTAAATTATAAATATAGACAATCGAACTGTTGGAGATGGCCAAATTTATTTAGGACAACAACTACGTAAAGTGGTATCGTACCAATCCAAATACGAAACATGTTACTGGTCGGGTGTCATCCACCCATACTCTCCGAATTTGGTAAAGTTGTTTGAGTTTCTGAATATTCTATTAGGCTGCATTTGGATGGAGGGATTTGGGTGAGAAATTTCAAATACATAATAATAAATTCTTTGGACTTGATGGGATTGAGGGATTTGGAGATAGATTTCAAATCCTCACCAAATTTGAATCATTTCAAATGACTTCAAATTTGAATCATTTCAAATCTCTTCCCCAAATCAAATCCTCCCTCCAAATCCATCCATCCAAACGCACTCTTAATGGCTAGTCCTTCTACATATATGACAAACATGTAATTCTTCATTTATACTTATATAATTATTTGTCATTGTTAATTTTATTTCATTTGCAAAATTTAGACAATTATTTTATCACACCTATAAAATACATTTGTTAGAGATTGTTGGTGTTACTTGCAGTTTGATTTTTACTATTGTAGTGGTATTCAAATACTAAAAAAAAAAAGAAAAAAAAAAGAACAACAACTTTATACTTTTAATTCTCGTGGACTTTTTAGCGGGTACAATTTTTGTATAGTTCCCGAAACCGGTACGAAAAACAATACCGGCCCGTACCCGCGAGTCCCAAAATAAAATCTAATCGAAGTGAGATACAAATAAATATGCACAAAAATTCCGAGAGTTAATCATCTATAAATTAATACAGCCGGAACAAGAGAAATTCTATTAATTTAGCGAAATATTAAATTATTAAATTAATAATTTAACACGTTTTCACCGAATCAGGACCGAAAGAAACTATTATTTAAGCGAGATTATTAGTTTATCAAAGTTATAATGTACTCTATATATAATCTAAAAAAAAAAGAAATCATAAAAAGAGGTAAATCAACCAAAATGAAAATAAAAAAGTGTGTGCATCTATCTATGCAACAACATATGCAAAATAACGTGATGAAACAATCTTTGTACATAAAAGCCCTTGAAACTAGGACTCGAAAACCAGCTACACTAATGAGGTCCTTTTAACTCGACTGAGTTGACTCATCTATTGATGAAGCTTCTCTACATTCCACCAAGGTTTGTGTTCATCTGCAAATCCACCACCATCCTTCATACGATCGTCTCCTTGATCTCGTCTCTCCGATTCCACTTCAGCCTCCGTAAGAAACTGTTGCCAGAAGACATCATTACCCCCAGCCGCCGCCACATTACAAGCCACGCCTCCATCCCGATCTTGATCTTTATCTAATTCAACATCCCGAGTTTTAGTAATCGCGCTCATATCCACATCAAGTCTCGACCGTCCATTGCTCGAGTCCCGATCAACGCAAATGGAAGATACGGCCGGGCTTTCGACATAAGTAGTGTAAGACGCATCGCGCAAACCTTGCGACGACGGAATTTTATCGACCCCGTAAATAAATTCCTCCCAAAAAGTTAGGGAAGACCCCAATTTCTCAACGGCGTCCAAGTTCAATAACGGAAGAGACGGAGAAGGGCTTCGATTTTCTTCGAAAGAAAACGTCGGCCTTCTCTTCTTGTTTTGAGTATTTTGAAACACGTGATCCAACGTGGCAAGTAACCGTCTCTGCCTTTGATCAATGTTTTGCAATGTGTGTCCTAACGATTTGAGTCGATATTCGTATCCTTGATTCTCGTGTTTATGCTTATCCACCTTTGATTGAAGGGAGAGCTTTTCTTGTCTAAGTTTTTCAATCTCCTTTTCGAAACCCCGTCTTTCCGAGTCGGTTAGTAACGGTAATGCGTTTACTTGACCGGAGTGGCTGTGGATTGGTTTTCGTCGGTGTATATTCTTTAGTAGGTGTCTTTGTCCTTGAATAAACTCCTCATTTGCAAACTCCCATTGATCAGGATCAACCTTTCTAAAACCCTGCAAAATGGAAATAATAACAGTGTTAAGGTAAAAGATCTGAAAACTAACGGCGAGGGCCATATTGAAACAATTTTTCAAGTGCAGGGGGCAAATGGATGCAATCGAGAGTACTAGGGGGAAAGTGGAATTTACCCTAGTTTTTTTGTTCTTTTTTTCTTTTTTTGAAGTGAAAAGAAAAGAAAGCAAAGGGGCTGCTTACATATGTATTGAGTTGTCTGATGAAGCTAGAGAAATTATTGTGCTTGAAATACTTTGGGAGCAAATCTGCTGCAAATTCTGGTGGATTCCAAACAACAAAACTATTGCCAGTGTAATTCCATGAGACGACGGAGTTCGTCAAAGGGTCGTCCACCATCTCATACGTTTTCACCAGAAACGGCGCCGTTGAGTTATTTGTTGACGCCTCCATCTGAATATAGGAAAAAATAAAATAAAAGAGATGAATAAATATGGAAAGAGGTAGAGTTGTAAATAGAGATTGGTGGAGTGGGGGTCAATTTTTTTTTTTTTTTTTGTGTTGACTAATGTGGGCATCAATCAATGCGGAAGAAAAAGAAGAGCAGACTTGACTTTCAAAAGCTCCTCTCTGATTTCAAACTTCTTGTGAGGGCTCTGAGTTGAATATTCAAATTTACTTTTGCTTTTTTTTTTCTTTTTTAGGGTAAATTACCAAAATACCCCGAACTTAGGCCAAATTACGAAAAACACTCCCATCTATATCCGTCGTTAGTAAAATATTTCCGGTGTCTCTTTCCGTCTTACACCGACTATATTACGATTTGATTTTTCACGAAATTTTTTTTGTAGGGAATATTTTTCAAAAAATGCCAATTATACCCCTGCAGGCTGCAGACTTGGAATTTCTTTTATGCTACTTTTAAAAGGTTAAAATTATTCTTAAAGGGGTAATGCTGGTTACCAAAAATATGTGAATGTGTCATAAAGAAATGTCACATCTGCAAAGGTAATATTCACAGCGTAAGGGGGTTGGTGCAATATTGGAACAAATATCGGGGGAATTTGGTAATTACGGATAGCTGAGAGTGTTTATCATAATTTTCATAATTTATCCTTTTTTTATATATATATTTTGGTTGGAACGTTGAATTCAACTTTGGTGGAGAGAGAGAGAGAGAGAGAGAGAGTAAACTGTGAACAGGGACGCAGTCATGGATTTGTCTTTTGCGAACAAGATTCCCTCTGCAGATGGAGGGAGGATGAATGACGAAATTCAAAGAAAAGTTGCCAAATTATTATAATATAGGGTAAATTACACTACCTTCCCCTAGGTTATGTATAATTACAGTTTCACCTTTTATGATTCGAAAAATATCAGATAGGCCCTTCAAGTTTAATGTTAACTAAAAATTAAATTTAAACTCATTAAATAATATTTTCATTTTTACTAAACATTTTATAAAAAATAAATCATATGAAAATTAATACTATAGGAAAACAAACTTGCTCTTTCGTATATAAATAATAAAATGATATTTTCTTTTATAGTCTCGTTCACCTAGTGCCCTACTATCTCCACCTCGTCATTGCATTTATTTTCTCTACAAAACTTCAATTTTTCATGAGAATCAAAGGTTTAACAAACACGACTTTTTGTTTTTTTGGGAAACAAATAAAAATGTTGTGGAAACCATTGAAACATTGCCTTAGTTTCTAAGCCCTTAAGTTATAAAATTACCTGGACCTCCATTTAATTTTATTGTCAGCAGGCATTTAATCTTACTTGCTCATTGATTTGTTATAAATTGATTTCATAGTATATTTGCTCTATAATATTTTAGTAAAAATAAAAATATTATTTGATGAGTTTAAATTTAAATTTGAGTTAAAATTAGACTTCAAGGGAGGTATTTATAATATTTTTTTAAAATATAAGGAGTCTATTGTTGAGTGTATACTTTACACTCAATATATACTTTCTTACGAGGATGTTTTTTTTTATACTTTTATTGATTTAATGGTTCTTAATGAGTGGTTTATTATATATTTAGGTGCAATTTGAAGATTCGTGAGTTTCAAGGATGAAACGAGCGAAAAAATGTCAAAAACGGGCAAAAACGGAAGAAAACAATCGGAGGCTGAAAATTGGCCTAGCACGGCCGTGTGAAATAGCCTATTTCTGGTACGGTCGTGCCAACTGCAGAATTTGGGGAGAAAGCTTCGGGATTTGAGACGGCCTTGTGAGAATTGTACTGATTCTCGCACGACCGTGTGAAAACACGCTGAAAGCAATTTTGGAGTTTTAATCACACAAGGAAACCCAAATCTTCTACCAAGTTGGGACATCTATTTAAGGGCAAAGACCAAACACGAATTAAATATTTTTTACACAATCTTAGAGCAAGAGGAGCGAGAGAACGGAGAATTGAAGACGAAGACTTGACGAATCTTCATCATAGTTCTTCTTTTACTTTTCTTTTCTACTTTTATGTATTTTCGTATTTTTATGATGTTTTTCGTAGAGAACATGAGTACCTAACTGTTTAATCTATGATTTTGTTGGAACCCTATGTTGTGACTTTAACCCTAGTTTTCTAATATTATGCAAATTTAATTCCATGATTATTTCTTCTATCTGGTCTTATTTAGTGCATGAACCTAGCTAATTTATGTTGCTATGTGTTATTGTTAGAATTGAATCGCCAGATCATTTTAATAATTAGAACAAGGATAGAAAAACTTTCGAGTAGTTTTCACCAGATTAGTGTGTTAATTGCATGTGTTATTGTAGACATACAGATAACACCTTAGGTAGCTAGCTGTTTACGAGACTTGTTAGTTAATGATTTATTCATAATTGGTTTGCATAGACATATAGTGAATTGTTAATGAATAATAGACTTATAATACACGCGACAACAGGTTATGAGTAATTTAGTGTCTCGGGTTAATAATCATGAACCGTAACTTGCATGATAGAGGTTTAATTGGATATTGAATTATCGCATAGTGGAAGATAACATCCTAGGTCCGTTTTTATTGATATTTTTCTCGTGATTTTTTACTTTTATAATTAGTTTACTTATTTAGTTGATTAAATTTGACAGCTTTGAGTAGGCTGGATAAAAATCACAACTGTTAGAATTTGGTACTTAGGATTAGATAATTTGAGTATTCTCTGTGGGATCGACATCCGACTCTCACGAGTCCACTATTACTACTTGTTTGCGATACGTGCACTTGAGTGTTAGGTATTTAGCCAAACAAGTTTTTGGTGCCGTTACGAGAAATACGGTTAAAATTTATTTATTCTAATTTATAATACAAAAAAACTCTAAAATAACAAACCACAAAAATCATAGTCATCTTATAGATTAAAAAAGTATTTAAATTAAATATTCAACACTTCTTGACATTTTAATGAAGCCTTACCTCCAAATTAAAGACCGGTTCAACCAATCAAACCCAATTTTTGTGGTTCAATCGGTCAAAACCCCAGTTTAACAGTTTAACGGTTCGACGCAAAAAAAAAAAGTGATTAAAACCTATTCTTTTTGTAACTTACGGTTTTACAGTGCAAATCAGTATGGGTAAGACGCGGTCCAACCGGTTAGATCAGTCGGTCCTTTTCCTAGTCAAAACATTGGACATAAGATTGATTTTGATTTTGGTTTTACTAATTCTTCTCAATTTACATAACTTTTCTTGCATTTTGGACAAAAATGATTATATTAGGCCACGTTCGGTTACCGGGATCGGATTAGTATGGATTCAATTGAATTGGATTGAATTAACTCCCCACTAACTAATTAATTAGTTAATTAGTAGGATGTTCGGTTGTTTTGATTAAGCCAAATCGTGTAGAAGGATAGGTCCTTCACTACAAGTCAAAACAAGTTTCGGAGCATGAAAGAAAACTGTAGCATTTCGTATATTTTTTGATATTATTTTTCTCCAATTTGAGGGCAGTCGCTTTTAATTGTACTTTAATCAATTTTTTTGGGGACTAAATTAATATTTTAGGAAATGTTGGGGCGTTACGAAATAAATAATGAAACATGGCAGATTCAATGTATTTGTGGTAGCAATTTTTTTTCTTGGTAAGATTTGAGGAATCGACACCGCACCAATTCATGCATAAACAAAAATTATTTATTAAACACGTCGTCTCCTTTCCTTGTCATCTATAGATACAACACCCAAAGCCTTTGTTTTCTTCACCCTATAATCAATAACGGAGAAACCAAAGATGAGAATTACAAGGTAGAAAGAGGAATTAGATTATTTGATATTTGATTTTATAAGTCAAATATAAATTAGGGTTTTTGTGCATAAGTTTCTAACTAACCATTTTTATTATTTTAGGTTCAGAGGTTATATTTCTTTTGCCGATAAGCCCATCTCTTTAATATGTTATAAATAAATGAAAAGTTAATGTATACGACAAAATCACCCCCAACCCTTTACACCCAATTCTTAATTGTAACCGCAATTTAATCAATTTTAACTTTATTTTTTTTAAACTTTTTTTTTCTCAAATTATTTTTTTTCAACTTTTTTAAACTTTTTCGAATTTTTTTTTATTTTTTTATTTTTTTTGGTCTGCCTTTTCCACCGCCAGTTTCCAGCGTTGACTTTTTTTTAGTGATTTTCTTTTTATCCGTTTTTAAACGTTGACCGTAATTGTACTGTCATTAACAACAATTATACTCTCACTGACAGTACATTAACGTAATTATACTATCGTTGACAATACATTAACGTAATTGTACTGTTATTGACAGTACATGCATGTAATTGTACGTCGTCAGTACAATTAGAGTCAACGATAATATTTTTATTTTTTTTGGCTTTTTTTATTTTTATTTTTTTTATTTTGTTTGATTTGTTGACAAGTCAACCTAATTATATTACTGTTGTTCACAGTAAAATAATTGTAAACACATTAATATTATTTTTTGGGTTTTTTGTTTTAGTTGAGTTGTTGACGGAGTAATGTAATAATATTACTGTCGTTCACAGTAAAATAATTGTAAACACAATAATATTACTGTCAATCACATAAATATTTTTTCTTGGGTTTTTTGTTTTAGTTGAGTTGTTGACGGAGTAATGTAATAATATTACTGTCTACTATTGTAATATTACTGTAAACACAATAATATTACTGTGGTTGACGGTAATATTACTGTTGTTACAGTAATATTACTGTCAACAACATCAATATTAATTCTTTTGGCTTTTTAGTATGTTTACCTCTGTTGAACGATCAACATATTAATATTACTCTATTACATAATAAGTATAATGACTTTTGTTGTGTTAATATTACTGTGCTAGAGATTAATATAACAATATTGTGTTAAACTGTACTATAGTTAATATTATTATGTTTAAGAGTAATACAGTTAATATTACTGTCAACCACAACAGTATTGTTGTTTAAACGGGGGACAAAAAGATGTTAAAGAAAAAAATTCAAAAAAAAATCA